ATATACATATATCTATATATATATAGTGATCGGTGTCAGGAGGCGATGGATATTTCTAGGAGAAGAACAATTATTCCCATCAGCTTCCACATTTCAGCCAAGTCTGCCATGTCTGTCCGAGCTTCGCCAAAGGGCGGGGGAGAAGCCTGCTTGCAAGCAGATGGCTTTCATGAATTTCATTTCCCTGCAAACTCTTTCTGCTTCTTCTTCTTCTCCTTCCATTTTGTAGTTGCAAGCTGACATTATGTCACTGGAGGAAGCGATCGAAAGGGGAAGCCAGCCCCGTTAGGGTATTTTATCATCTGATACTTTAACATTTTGTAAGGTGGGAAAGCAGTGGTAGCAAGTTGATGGACTTCATGAATTTACTTGCACGCACGGTCCTTGCGTGCAATTACAAACAGGTGTTATTTCTATGTTGGGAGTAATATAGAGCCTTGATTAAATTTGTTTACGCGCGTCTCCCCTGAGATAGCAAGCAGATTTGTGGAGGTGGTGGTGCATTTTAATGTAAGAAACACCACACAGGTCCTCTTGTATTGGAAGAGACCATTGCCCAAAACAACAGCGAAATAAAACAAAGTAACCTCTTAATAACACTAAGCGCCTTTTTTAAGAGCAAAAATATATCCAAAAAGATATATTAAAAAAAAAAACATCAGGAACAGGAAAATGTTGTTCTGTGCTGTTCTGTGATTGACCAATACATCTTTCAAGTGTAACGCTTGATTAAAAATAAATAAATAAATAAAATAATAATAATAATAATAATATAAAATTCGCCGTCTTAATCAGAAGTCAAAATGGCCGAGCGATTCATTTGACTGTGACCGACGTCTCAAAGCAATTAAAAATCTGCCGCATGCCATCGAGGCGCTCCTTGCGCCGCACAAACATTCTGGGCAGATGGCGGCGGGCAGCGGACGTGACGTCCTTGCTCGGCTCAAGACCCTCGTCGCATGCCACGGCAAGATGGCGACAGGTGTCAGCTGACAAAATCACCATCATGATGAGGATGTCACGTGTGTGTGTGTGGGGGGGGGGGCGCTAGGGGGGGAATTATGTGACATCCCAGTGTTATCTGTCGTTGAATCCTCAAACTGATCATTGGAAATCAACGTTATGCTAGACCCACATCCTCACACGTCTCAGGCAATAATATTTTGTTGTATCTTGTCGCCAAGCTATTTTATGTGCTAAGTAGGACTTCGCCAAAAGGTAATGGCTGCATGTCCAATCGCATCCAAAATAGCTGGCTTCCCGTTTGTTCACGGGGCTGGATTTTATTTGATTTTTTTCCCAAAAGGCCATTAAAATACAAAGCGTCCGTCGTCATAACTGATTTGGCAATCTCATTGTCTGCATTTATGTACGTTCCCCCCACCCCCCCATGTTGGGTTTTATTGAGCAAGTTATCATATATATAAATATTTACAGTTGCAATATCTTTTTTATTGCATTACTCTGTGCCTTGTATACCCCTTCTGCACTGCCTGTATGCATTTAGGCATAAACATGTTTTTTTTTGGGTGGGGGGGGGGGTATATGTTCCAATAAGTTGATTGTAGCAATATATCCGTATGGCTCCATCCTGCTCGGAGCCTTTTTCCAATATTACCCAAGATGTTTGCAGCATATTAAAACGGAGGATTATCTTTTTTTTTTTTTTTTATACTGAAAATGAGTAGATGCAGGTTTACCTAATGAAGTGATGTAATTAACAGTACGGCATGCCACCCTGTGCACTGCAAACTCAAGTGTGTGAGTTCGATTCCCGGCCAAAGCCAATCGTGGCTTTGGCGCCGGCTCGCAAATTATTTATCTGGCACCCCGTACCCTCCACCCGCCCTGCAGATGTTTTCTGTCCAGTGGGCAGAAAGCATCTGCTGGCTGACGATAATAGGCGACCCACAACTGATGCAACTGGAACCACGTCGCGCAAAATAAAATGGAGAGGAAATGTCAGCTGCCGACGCACATCCTCCTGTTTCTTCGAACCTGTCCGCTTGCAGAATGTCGACGGTCTTAATAAATACATCCTTGCTCCTGGCATGTAGTATAAATGGATATTTATCTGGCCAAAGTATGAAGCGGCAACAAATCTTGTGGGGGGGGGGGGCATGTTTTGGATAAACTCTTATTCTTCTTAATGAGGTCATGTTTGTGGGTGCGGGCCAAGTAAGAGGGTCGAATTCCCAGCATTAATGATGAGTTTTCCTTCACCGCAGAGGGAATCGGAGGAAGCTTGCTCATTAAAACAAATGGTAGGGCTGGAAAGAGCATCTCCTCACCTTGGATATGCTCAGGAATCTTGCCCCCCCACCCCCCGAGTCTCCGGAATGCAGCACTTCTCGGAGTAAAGCGTTTGAGTTGACAGCTTGAAGTGGACAAAAGAAGCTGACAGCTCATCTTCTTGGGCTTCATTCTCTCGCTCCATCACTCCTTTGTCTCTCTTTTTTTATTTATTTTTTTTGCGATTGGGGGGGAGGGGGGTGTCTTTGGCTTCCATCGTATGCACACGCAAAGGCACACACAGCTGTCAGAGAAACTCCAGTAGGGATTTATCTCCAAGTGGACACACATTGAACTTGTCTGCCCGTTGAAACCGAGTTTTCATCCCACAATACAACATTGTTGCGAAGGGCGTTCCCCAGGGTTCCGTTTCGGGTATACTTCTATTGACCATTTATTTTACAGCTGCTGTCACACAAACCCAAGCCGCCTCATGATCACGAGCATACAATTGTTTCGAAGAATACTGAAGCAACTTGCAGCGAGCCGCTTGCTGCATCACCAAGTCGAAGAACCTTATCTGATCTCAAGCAGAGGCTTGTTTTGCAACAGCTCATACTTCGTTTATGTTGCAGCGGCTTCAAAATGTTTAATTCAGTATAGTACGTTTGTTAAGTGCATTTCAGTTATATTTAAGAGCTTGGAATTTTTCTAGGGTAGCACTTGGTGTCAAAATGATAAGAACCCCTCTACTACTATACGACTGGTTCTCATACTACTTTGACGATGACTAGTACTGGATGGGTTCTGTATGATAACGCTGCTTGTGAATTCCGAAGCCAAACTGCGTCGCTGCGGGGTCAGGCAGGATAATGAAATGGAGGGCCGGAGCACCACTCAGAGGGGATCCGGGTCTTTTCTATTAACTCCCAAGGCCAAGCGGAGGGGAATCCGGCTTCAGCGCTGAACCCTTGAAAACCCGCAGCACTCGGCCGAGCCCAGACGGCAAAGCGGCGGGTGAAATGGGGGGGGAAAAAGATGTCCCATGGGGTCCGGCGGTGATTGAGCCAGCGTTACATCAGCCTGCACTCGCCTGATAACATTTCTACTTCACAAAACACGATTTTTCACATAGCAGGTGTGAAAATAAAAACACTTTATTAGGATGGGCAAAGCAAAGCACATCTTCACTCTATTCAGAATTGCGGTTTTTGCATGACCAGCCGGACTATGATCAAGTGACATAGTCGGCTGCAGGAGTTCCAAAATGTGTCCTTGGACAAGATCTTAAACCTAAATTGCCTCCATTGTTTAAAAAAAACAAAACTGTTTTCAATTGCCTTACCTGGTTAAACAAAGGAGATATTTCAAATTATTATTTCCAAGAACAAAAAAGTGATTAAATCACAACACAGAGCTCCTAATTGGCCCAAAATTAAGGTGGGAAGTGCATCATCCATCCATTTTCCAAACCAGTGTTCAATCAGCCTGCCATGCATGTTTTGGGAAATGTGGGAGGAAACCGGAATACCCGGAGAAAACCCATGCAGGCCCGGGGAGAACATGCAAACTCCACACAGGGAGCCTGGAGCCGGGATCGAGCCCACGACCTCTGCACTGTGAGTTCAACGCACTAACCGCTGGACTGCCGAGCCGCCCTTGTATGTAATATTTTGTCAGAATTTAGGGGAAAATACCGGTTTAGTAATAATCTGTATTAATGTGTTGTTGTTGGTATGATTGCAGGTGTCTCCTGGGGACAACCAAAGCTCCGGCCTGTTGCTCGCTCCAGGCGTGAGGTGGGGACAGACGCCCATCAATCAGCTCACCCCCTGGGACACGGACGAGCCACCCAGCAAGCTGCATCGAGATGGCGAGGCTACGGGTAACGCACAAAATTCAACAGTGCTTTGGCAACATGCTCTCTTTACATGCACTACCATCCTGCATAATGTACAAACAGCTGCTTTTTTTGTGCTGCATAAAGCGACTTAATCGCGCATATCATTATACAAAATGTCAAGATCGTACTTGTAGAGAAACCACCTTAGCGGTCTTAACAGCCCATGTCAAAAACGCTGTCGACGCTCTAATGTAGTCGTCTGCTATTCATGCCCTTGTCTCTATTTTTCCTTCTCCTCCTCCTTTTTTTTTTTCCTCCCCCTTCAGACTTATTGTAATGAAGCCACCCCAGAACGGCTTTGCCCCAGAGCAGTTAATTTCCTTCACTGGCCTGCCTCGACTCACCCGAAATGTCTCTTTTTCAAACAAGCACACCAGCAGACAGCGGTGTCACGGGAACGGATCGGGCCAATTGAGAGCACTATTGCAACAACCTTGTGATTGATTGACCGATTCTTTGACTGATTGGCAGACATATTGATTTTTTTTTTAACCGACATTCACGCAGGTAAGAAGACTGAGAACAGATTCTCATGTTGCGGTGTCAATCTGGCAGCGCAGAGCAGAGTCCAAGAAAGCAAAATAAAAGCAAATACCAATACGTAGACAACAAATTGTACATTTAAAAAAAAAATAAAAAGTAAAACAAATTGCGAATAATTAGTTAGTTACAATAATTACATCAGTTGAGTTACAATAAAATGTTTACAAATAAAGGCCGAACATGACCTAATTGCTTCTGCAGTTGAATCATCCTGAGGCCACAATTTTTTTTTTTTTTTTTTTTTAATAATTTGTTTTGTAGGGTCGGAAATGTTGTTGCATTTAGGAGCTAAAAAACAACTAAAAAATAAAAAATGGGCAATTAACAGGTTGGGATGCAAGTCAGTACCAGTTAGCTGACTGACTTGTGACTTTCCGATCAGCACCTCCAGCGTGATGAATAATGTGAATGCTGCCTTTCTTTCTTTCTTTTTTCTATTTTTTTTTTTGGCATCGTTTAGACTTTGGCCTTTTCACTCAGCGTTCGTTATTTTTAGAAGGTGGCAGGGAGGCCTACTATGGCAGGGAGGCATCATTTAGGTCGAATATGGTTGTGTCTTCCCGGCACACCCTACGCTCCGAGCGCCTTGGGGTAGGAAATGATTGGCTCTGAGTGTGTGGATCAACACATCGTCCACAGTGGCATAAAAAGCACAAGCAATGCGTTTGCTCTTTGCGAAACCCTCACGATGATGTTGATCTTATATGGGGGTTAATTAAACATTAGGGAGGTTTGCATGCGTTCTAAGGAAGAAAAAAATTGTCTTATGCAGCCTTGGCTGTCAGTGGTGCAGCAGCTGGATGAATGTTTTTGAAACTCGTATGGAAAAAATAAGCACCATACAGAATTACATTTCAAGACAAAAAAAAAAGAGAAATAGTGGGGCATTTCCCACTATTTCTGCAATGCTGAGCAATATACTAAAAAAAAACCAAAAAAAAAACACGTATGTTATATTAAGCTGCAGCAAAAGAAATGTGCCATCTAACTATAAAAGTCCATCGTTGTGATCGTCACAGAGGACGCCCTCCAATTTTAACAAAATAGCAGCGCTACCAATACGTAGCTAGCATTAGCGCTGTAAACAAGTCAGTCTTTTACACGAAATGTTACGAGTTTGAAGTTTCATTTTTTCGGGATTGTAAAATCAATCAAAACTTCACTTGCCTCCAACTATATATCGGAAATCCAATAACATTTTAATCATGAACAGACTTTTCAACAGACTGAACACTGGACTGCCTGTCAATTAGCACGTCTCTCATGTATTGGTGTATGATCGGTTGGATTTTTCTGCTTCATTTACCTTGACTGATGGATTGATTGATTTGTATTAGCCTTGGTTGAGGGATCCTTGGTTGAATAGTGTTCTTGTTTCTGCTTTGCAGTTCCCGCCTGGGTGGCGCCGGTCACCACCGTCAGCCAGCCCAGCCTCCTGCCTCACACCTACGCCCTCCCGCATCCGCCCTCCTACAACCACAGCGTGACGGCGCAGTCGCCCACCACCCGGGCCTCATCCAGCTCAGCAATGGACAGGGGGCCGCCGCCCATGTTCCGGTCGCCGCGAACGCCCCTCCGGCCGCCAGCGACAATCAAGAGGGTCCGAACGGGCTGCAGATGCTACGGACTGTCGGCATGGGGAAGTACGAGTTCAGCGATCCGGGACATCCCAAAGGTGAGCAAGGAGCTGTTTGGGCCCCGGTTTAGGTTAGTGGCAATTTAGAAGCATTGTAACGGGTTGCTCTTAATTAGGGGGGCGATTCCTAACCGGGGTTTCTTGGCACCCAAGTGTGTCGTGACGGATCAACTAAACGCTTGTCTATTAGATGGCAGAAAGTGCAATCAACTTTTCGAGCCACTTGTTGCCATTCACGCGACTGAAGAAGTCAAGGCTTCTTTGCCAGTAGATTCACTTTGTGTTTGTTCAATTATACAGACCCAAATTGAACACAGAGTCTGGAGACTAACATGCCTTCTTCAACCTCAGACTCAACTAAAGCACCTTTACTGATAAACCAAGTCTGTTCTGACACCCCAAACCATCGACCGCTACAAATCTGACCTGTGCCTAACTCTGCGCCGTTGATTCACAACCTGCAAGCTGAATTTGCCGTCTGGTTTTAACCTTGGAGTTTGCAATGCAGGGACGCGTCAGAAACAGATGTTTGCAATTCACGGTACAATTTTCACATTTAATGAAGCTTTTCATTTAGGTTTAGATTGTTTTCACCACCACCACCACCCCCCCTTCCCGCACCCCCCACTCATTGCGATCAATAAAACAAAGGCAAATGAACTCGTAGATTGCAGAAAAGCAATTATTTTGTGGCCTGCCCGCTCTACATTGAAATGAGACTGTAGGTAGAATTGCAAACGGATAATTAGACAGGATTGTCGGCTCAGGCTGCTCTCTATAAAATGAGAATTTTTGCTGCCTCCGGCGTGTTGAATAGGCTGTCATGAGCCATTAAACCTATACGTGCGCGCCTGCGTTGACCTCCCACTAAGAGGGACCAGAATGTTATTGCTTGACGGCTGTCGCGGCATCGTAGGACGAGAAGTCTTCTGCGGAAGGTTCCGGCCCGAGGGATTGTTAGCCTCCGTTCTTGTAATTACATTTTCAATCAATTAACCTATATGGCAATGGCACCGAACACATGCTAAAATGTAGTGATACCAAACAACGTCCAAACCCGGCAGGCCAGAATAAACCAATGTGGTTAAGAGACAACAAAACATGTATGGAAAAGTAAAAAAAATAAATAAATAAAAAATACACATTACTGCTAGTCCACAAACCGGTTCACGAATGGATAAGAAAAAGAAAAAAAAAACTCCCCAAAAATGGTGGTGACTTATTTTCGTGAGTTTAAAAATGTATGGATGTCAGATGCCGGGATAAATAAACTTGGCTACAAAAAAAGTTTATTTTAACCTAATAAATATTAAATTGTCCTTATTCATTTTATTGTTTCTAATGTGTGTGTGTGTGTGTGTGTGTGTGTGTGTGTGTGTGTGTGTGTGTGTAAAAAAAAAAAAGTTGGGAAAGATGAATTGGAAGATTTGCAGAACTGTATTTGCAGAAAAGTATTGTTACCGCTGCTTTTGGCCCAGTTGTTGGACCAGAAATAGGACTCAGTTTCGGCGCTCTCTGTGAAGCCAAACAGGAAGTAAGAAGCGCATTTTATCCCACTGACATGAAATGACTCGCCAGTGACGTTTCCAAGTGATTGCTTGGCAAAGAGCTGAACTAGCCAAGTCCTCTCAAATGATGTCATTGCTTCTTCACAAGTTGCTCGCTGCGAGGACACGCCGTTTGATGGCAAAGCGGCCTGATGTTGGAGATGCTGACGGCACTTTTAATCCACACGCGCACGCACATCAGGCCGCTAAGTGTGTGTGTCTCTCTGATTTGGGTGTGGGCATTCTGTCAGATGACAGCCTTGCAGAAAGCATCGTGGCAGAAATTGCGCCTCATCTTCAAAGGCAGCAATTTGTCTTTGCTCCGCTCGAACGACAATTCAGTCTTTCTGCGCGCGCGTGCCGATACGTGCTTGCGTTCGGATTCTCGTCACCCGCCATCACGTGTGCATGCCTGGCAAACAAAGCTGTATACGTACGGTCTTAAACCACCGCTGGATTTGTGTCAACGGAAGGTTGGACGGATAGTTTAAGATTAGGGCTCGTGGATTGGGGTTAGTCAAACATTTTCCTCACAAAAATATGTTCTATGCGCACTCACCGTTGGCACTGTGATGTCATTTTCATCAACAGCAACTGGCAGAATGGCCGACCCCTGAGATGGATCAAAACGGGTGCGTTTTGCTCCCTACCGAAAGCCATTGACAAATTCTAAATGAGTTAAAAGGCCGTTTAAAGCGGCGAGCATTAGATAGGGTTCATTGCATATTTCAGGGAACGGGAAAGTGCAGCGTATCATCTGCCTCGTGTGCACTTTTAACTTCCTCTCCCGCTGTGATGTTTCATTCCTCCGCGCTATAATTTTGCCCACCTCGTTTCACTGCCCACAGCAGGCACTCCCGGTAATACCCGCCTGTCGACGGCGTGCACCTCTCCTCCTCTTTACGTTTACATTTTACTCCTATTGTAACTCAAATAAGTGTTGCGCCCGACTCGGGCAGACTCCGCCGTCAGCGGAGGTGACTGACATCGTTGATTAAAGGGCTCGTAAAACAGTGCGGGGCACGGGGCTGGGAGAGTATATTGAGGAGCTTGTTTAAATCGATCCTCTTGTCCTGATGACTATCAGCCACGGGGTGTGCGAGTGTCGAGCTCAGCGCGGTCGAGCTCGGAAATGGGATTGATTCGAACGCATATATCCAAAGGGGTGGGGGTGTAAACTGTGGAAAATTTGGATTCTTTGTCACACTCTATGCATCAAGAGTTAGTCGGTTGTTGTTCGGGTTTAGTTTCGGCTATGGCGTAAGTTGTTGCTGATTTGCATGTTTTGTTACAGGATGTGGATGACTGAATTGGTTGTTGACAGAAAGTTCATATGATCCAAGATTTATTGCTCAGTCGTCACCCGTCTTCTGGAATGTTGGGCAATGCAATTTCATTTGACTTCGACAACTTGCTCCAAAGCCTCGACCTTAGAACTCCATCAAAACATGACAGGGCCGACTGGCATTTGTGGTAAACTGCCGGCCAAACGGGAGTGCTCTTTTAGGTCGCTTCATGGCCAAAATCCCACAAACAAGAAGCGCCGTGGCCAGCGGAATCCTCGTGCAAAATTCACCTCAGGGTTTGTGCTTTGGTGTAATGAAGTTGGCAGGTCAGGGTTAATGCTTGAGTGCAGGGGTGACAAACTCATTTTTGTCATGGGCCACTTTGGAGTTACGGCTTCCCTCGGAGGGCCGTTACGGCAGTGAAACTGAATAAATGTTTCATCATCACATCATATGATTATTTGTCCACCAAAAAAAAATGAAGCATTACTAGTTTTGAAATTAGTCAACTAGTTGTTTGTTGCATGATTATAGTGCGTGTAAACCAGGTCAGAAAATTATTGCGAAACGTTATAAATTACGCATGACAATTTGAGATTTCGGTACAAATTTAGGATCATGGAAGTTGACACAGATGATTTGCTTTCGCGGACCACAGAAAATGATGTGGCGGGCCGCATCTGGCCCCCGGGCCTTGACTTTGACACCTGGGGGTTGAGTGGGTAGGGCTTCACTCATTCACCACCAGCGCAGGTAAAACAATGGACCTTTCAACTTCAAGAGCCGTCAATGGCAATGTTAAATTGAGTTTTCAATGTGTACTACTAACTAGGGTTAGGGGTTAGTGGATCGGGACTAGTTGGAAGAAGCAGCTTAGCTGGTTGAGTGTTTGTTTGAGTGAGTTGAGTTACCGTTTGTGCTTTAATGATATGTTAGAGCTGGGTTTAGTTTTAGAGGACTTGTCTCAATAAATAACTATTTTAGTACATGCGTGCATTTTTTTTTTTTTTTGGGGGGCGGGCGGGGGACACTTCGGAAAACAAGTTTTCAATGACACTTAACGCTTGCTTCCACCTCAGTGGTCTTTACTGGTCCTTTGCTCACACGATCGCATGCATAAATGCACTCGAGGAGCCACTAGGCCCATGTTAGACATCCGCACGCGGTGACACGCGGCGACACGCAGCGTCCCCGCCTGCCCGGGGAGTTCATCTTCCAGTCAGTTCGCATCAGACCTCATCGGGGTGGGGGGGTCGGGGGGAGGGAGGAGCGGACCTTGTGAACGCAATTACGATGCCCCGCAGAGTTAACATCGGCGCGGCGGTTTGCTGTTTAAATGCGGATCTTAACACAGAGCAAAAGTCGTTCGGATTTACTGGGACCATAATACTGGATTTTATTGCCGAGGGGTTCGGTGAATCGGTCTCAGGGGTTCGACGGAGCCGCGCCCGACTCATGATGTCAATTCGTTACGACGCGCCAGCTTGGCCGTCCGTCGCTGGCTGCGGATGATCACATGACATGGCTTGTCCATTCAGTGCTGCGGGAAATTTAGTTCGCTCGGTAGTGATCGTGTGATTAGTACATCGTTCAATTTAAAAAAAAAAAAAACAACAAAAAAAACAATATTTCTGCTCTGTAATTGTATTTACTTTTTTGGTATATGGCATTCCACGGCTGTAACTCCTCTTCTAATTGCCAGGAACTTCAAAAGACCAATTTTAACAGTCGGCTAATCGTTTTTATGCCCGTCCCTCGTCATTAGTGCTCTGCGGTTTTAGCTGGGAAAAGCGTGGCTTTCATCCAAAACTTTCTCGTACATCTTTTGCCCCTATGGAGCTCGCGAGTGCGGGGAAGTGGGGGCGAGGTGGTTGAGAATACGTCGGCGGTAGGAAGGCCGACTCCAACCATCACGCTTTCTCCCTCATCGTATTTTAAAGACGAGAAGCACCCCCCCGTCCGTGCATTCTACCCGCCTGCAGTTAATGCACGGATGGCGGATAGCTCATTAAGATTGATCATCCCTTGCCCGCTTCCTCGCGTGCACAATGCGGCGACGGCTTCATTAATCAGCCGGATCTCGGAGATAAAGCTCGTGAACGTCGGCGGCCCAACCCGCGGCTCTGACAGATCAGGTTGGACATGCATAATGGCGTCCTGAGAGCGTCCCCTTCCCACCCCGCACCTGCCCTCTTTTCGACAAGCC